TGAGCTATTTTTGGTAACAGGGTCTTTTGTCTCAGGCTCTAGAGGCCAGGGTGACTGGGAGGGAGCTGTTTGCATTTCCTCTGGCCTCTTGGACTCCCCCCCCCATCTGGGCCCAGGGGACAGGGTTGCATATGGTATGAACCCAAGCCTCTCCTTCCTGGGTCCCAGTGAGCCTTCCAGCTGGCAGCTCTAGCACCATGGGAGGGCGAAGAGGGGCACTGCTGTGCCTCTCCAAGGACATTCCACAGAGCCTGGCACCAGGCCCTCTCCCCGGCCCCCTGGCAGCAACGGGAGGCAGCAGTAATTCTAGTAATCCCTTGATTTGCACAGCGCTTTGCAACAGGCCTGTTTCTCTCACATATAGTCTCAGTTGATCCTCTCGACAGCCCTGGATAGTAGGCGGGCTGGGCAACATGAGCCCATGCATAAGTGAGAAAAATGAAATTCCTCACAGGGCACACAGGTCCCCAGAACCTGGGGATGGGGACAAGCAGCTGAGTGCTACCTCCAAGACACCTGCAGGGGCAATGGCATGCTACCCTTCTGAGTCGCTGTAGCAAGGGGGCCTGATAGTGAGCAGGACAGCCTGACAATTCCCTTACGAGGAGAGAGACTGAGCCCGATGTGGGTGCAGGTCTGCTCTTTAGGTGCAGCACTGCCTTTAGCTGGGGTCCATCCTGTAGTGATCTGAGACTTCCCCAGTCTCTAACCAGCTCCCAGGGGGCCCCGACCTGGCCTCTCCTCTGCTCTGTTAGGCTGTCAGGCTAGTGGCCCTTGGGTGGTTCAGTTTTCTCTCCTGCCTCCTGCAGAGCACACAGGCCCATGAGAACAGCAAGGATGGCCGGCTGGCGTGGACAGGCACCCAGGAGCACCTTGTGTCCACTGGATTCAACCAGGTAGGGCTCCTTGAAGGTGAGCAGGGACTCATACCAAGAGATCAGGGATGAGGCTCATTGGGAGGCAGGGGCCGCAGGCTAGCTTCAGGCCTGTCCATATATAGCCCTGAGTGCAGCCGGGTCTCAGAGCCCCAGGGGACCAACTGCCGCTGAAAACTGGTAGATTCCATTTGTAATAGCTAAGCCTGACCCTGGGAACTGTGGCAGCTCCCCCAGGGACCAGAGTCCATGCAGGGAAACGCCCCTGTCCTTTGTCACCTAAGAGTTCTTAAAGGGGCAGGACCTGAAAACCCAAATATCTCCCTTCCAGGCATGCTTCCCCCCCTACCACCACTGCCTTCTAAGCTCTTTCTGGGGCAAGTTCCTCTGTGCCAAGCTGTGTCCCTGGGCACTGGGTTCCTGGGGAGCCCTGGGGTTGACAGACGACCTCTGAGCCTCTCTCTCTGTCCCCTCCCCACAGATGCGTGAACATGAAGTGAAGCTGTGGGACACCCGACACTTCTCCAGTGCCCTCACCTCCCTCACCCTGGACACCTCACCGGGGTAGGAGCAGCCAGCCTGCTGGCATGGACTGGGGATGGGGTGGGGCAAGGACCCAGACGATGTCTTGATTCCAAACCTGTGAATGGGCACCAATGCTAAGGGCTCCTATGTGCCATGGCAGGGCCATCTGCAGAGTACAGAGCCCAATTCAGCTATAAGGGCTTTAACCTGGCTCAGATCCTGTCACAGAGATGGCTCATCACCAGAGCAGTCAGGGGGTGTCTGAGGAGCCCTCTGAAGCTTCACCATCAGGGGATGGTGAGGCAGCCCAGAGAGGGTGAATTAACCCAACTGACCCATCTCACATGGCATTTAGTCATGCGGCAGACTTTTGGCCTGGGGACTCAGGTTGGTGTATTTTGGCATTGGGGGAGGAGACTATGACCTGGCGGATGTGTGGCTGGTCGACATGAGAATGCACTTGATTTTGCTATGGGTGTTTTGGGGGGCTGAGGGCCTAGGACACCTAAAGCTACAATAGCCAGGTAGACTTGGGATGGATGTGGGGACAGATGAGCTGGCAGGTTTGGAAGCACAAAGAGCAGAGGGAGGCAGGCCTTGAACTTGTGGGCTTTATGAGGCCTCCTCAGCCCTGGCTACATGCCCATCCCTTCTAGTCCTTGGTGAGGGGTACGCAAATGCACCTCATCCTTCCATCCTCACAAGAGGTGTGCAGGAGGATGTGTGGTGGTGCCCATGGGGCTCTGGGCTAAGCCCACTCTGTGCAGAGATGGCTCAGGGTCACTGCGGCTCACTGAGTGCTGAGGAGTGAGCCGTCTCTTCAGTCTACATGGACCAGGTACAGCTGGGGAAAGAGGCTTAGGAGTGTGGGAGACTAGCTGAATTGGGATGGGAGGAGGCAGGGACCTGGCCCGTGTTCCAAAGCCTTAGCCTTGTTCAGCTATGACTCTCGGAGAGGCTTGCTGGGACCCCCAGCACCACCACCAGGCAGAGGCCTGCAAAGGTCAAAGCATAGAGAGGCCTTGGTCCTTGGATATCCCGTCAGCCACACCCTCTTCTGTTTCACAACTGGGAAAACTGAGTCACAGAGAGCGCTGTGACGCCTCCAAGTTCCAGGAGCAGCAAGGGCTGTGTCTGGGCTCTGAGTGCCAGGGTATTCCTGGTGAGTTTTCAGCGAAGGGATAAAGGTCAGGATGACATTGACCCTCCACTCCCATCCTCTGTCACAGCCCCTGGAGAGGCTAAAAAGCTTTGCAAATAAGGAGGATGAGGCTGAGCGAGCTCCGGTGCCTTCCTTGGAATTGGGTGTGAGGCTTTTGCCTGCTCTGGGCCCTGGGGATTCAGGGGAGTCACTAGGGTCCACATGCACTGGAGGAAATGGAGCTTCCTGGGCTCTTTGCTTCATTTCCAGCATCCCCTCCTCTGGTGCGGATTCTGTACTGGCTTCTTGTCATCTTTGCTTCCCCTGGTCAGACAGCCCCTTCCCTATAGGCCCGCCCCCAGCAGGAGGAGGGAGCTGGTCAACCTGGAAAAGGGACCCAGCACTAGCCATTAAATGCTCCCTACCCACCACTTCCTGCCTTTCAGGCTCTACCATTGGCCTGTGAGGGGTCACCCTCCCCCTGAAGAGCAGCCCCACCCTACCCAGCCCTAGCATAGCCTCTGGAGGAGTTAACCGATGCCCAAACTCCACAGTACCATTGGCCAAGGCTGACCCTGTAATTACAGAAGTTAAGAATAGCCTTGTAGGGCCAGTGAGGCCTGGAATTTCTCAAATTACTCCCAGATGAGCCAGCCAGGCCAGTCTCCTGCCCCCTGCGTCCCCAGGTCCTGGCCCCTGCCTCCACACCGGGCCCACACCCTTGGCAGAGGAATTGGGACTCTCCAGTCCTCTTCAAAACTGGTGGACAACAGGGATGCATGCCAGTCTCCAGGTTGGCCTGAGAGGTGGCAGGTCCCCTGCCCCCCCAGGTTTCCTGGAAGCTAGAATCCTATACTGCCCTCCTGGGGTGTGGGAGCTGCTCAGTGAACTGGACTGGAGATGAAATACATGGCCATAGGCCTCCACTGGATGCCCTCGATTTCTTCACTGTTTACATATGTTCCATCTCAATTTAGGCAGAATGGTATATGTTCTTTTTTTTTTTTTTTAAATATATTTTATTGATTTTACACAGAGAGGAATTAAGAGATAGAGAGTTAGAAACGTCGATGAGAGAGAGTCATCAACCAGCTGCCTCTTACACACACACCCACTGGGGATGTGCCCGCAACCAAGGTACGTGTCCTTGACCGGAATCGAACCCGGGACCTTTCAGTCTTCAGGCCGACACTCTCCACTGAGCCAAACCGGTTTCAGCATGGTATATGTTCTTAGAAGAGCAAGAGGGGTCCAGGGATCAGGCACACAGTCTTCCCCAGCCTCTTCAAGGGAGAACCCAGGGCCCACCCTCCCAGGGACCTCTGACTCAGCTCCCTATGCCTTCCTCTTTGTCATCCCTGTCACTTGTGGAGTACACGACACTAAAAGGAGATGTGACATGGTGGGAAGAGCAGGACACCAGCATCCTATCTGCAAAACCAGATTCAGGCAGCAGGTCCATAGATGGCTGTCCTGCACTTCCTGAGTGTCTGACCTATGCTTGGGCTAGTGTATGGTGAAGGTGGGGGTAGGGGCCTGATGTAAGTGGAGGTGAGGGGCTGGTGGAGGTGGAGATGGGGGTTTAGAAGGATCTAGTGATGAAGCAGCTTGTGCTCCATCCAGGGGACAAACACCTCTGGTCCCAGGTTTGGTGCTTCTGGACTGGGTGAATGGTCAGGTGCCTGTGCTGTAGGCAAGTAGGGATTTTTCCCTCCCAGTTGCTGAAGAGGCAGCTGAAGCCAGAGAAGTGGGTCCTCTGTTGAGATCATCCCAGCAAAAGCTTATGCAGGTTGGAGGTTAGGATTGGGACACACCAAAGTGTCCACCTCTGGTCAGACCCCTAACCCAAGCCCATTCAGCAGCTAGAGGCACGAGGTCTGTCGGTTAAGAAACCTCCAAACCTGTAGAGAATGTTTGAATTTATTTGAGCCAAACTGACGATAATTGCTGGGAAGCAAAACCTCAGCAAATTGAGAAAATGCTCTGGAGAATGATAATTCTACAGCTTATTTTATGCATTACAATCGAAGGAGAAGTAAGGGGTTATATGAAATGAATTGGTAGTAGATTAGGGAAGTGGGAGAAAGCAAAGTGGGGAAATCTCTGAGATTGGATAAAGAATATAATAGACACGTGTTTCTTTTACTTTGGTAGGTATGGGATAATCACCCGTTACCATTTACCTCACTTAGGGATGGTATTAAGGGAACAATAGCAATGCAAGGCTCTGGTCTCTGCTCAGGTACCATGGTATGCCCTGAGAGGTCTGGAAAAGGACATTACTCTGACATTTCAAAGATATGCTGACTTAGATGCAAAAAGACTACCCAATTTTAGCTAGAAATTTTTATGTTCAGACCATCCTTTGTGGTTACTTTCGGTTTCTAAGTTTGTAAGGCCCACCAAGCAGGCCTCCCCCTGAGTTGTAGGTTTAGTATATGGCCCCTTTTTTGGCCATAGGCCCCACACCCAGTGTGTTCTTAGAGACTGGGTGCCTCCTCTCCGCCTGAGTAGCTTTTGCTCACAGTGGCCCCACCCTCTCTGGCAATCGAAGGCCTCCCCCACGGCTCACAAAGCTCTGCTGGCCCCGGAGTGGATGTTGGGAGCCGTCCTCGCCTGCTGTAAGCAAGCTGCTGTCTCCTCTCCCAGCCTGTCTCCCGATAGGTATGGGCATGAAATGGGACTGTGTATAAGTCCCTGTGGCACAGGGCCTATGGCAGCAAGAACTCAACAATGTGGGGGCTGGTGTTTGTCCACATCCATCCCTGGGCATGGCCCGGAGCCTTTGGGATCGCTTTGACTAGGGGCTGCATCTTGGCTTACCTCCTCCCCACTCCCAACCCCCACTTAGCCCAGGTCCTCCCTTCATCCCCCAGTGCTTTTTCTGGGAGGGCTCACACCATCCCCCTTTCTTTAGGTCCCACCCACCCCCTGCTGGCCCATGAGGCCAGGTTTGGCTTTTCAGGGAAAACATTTATTCAGCAGCCACCGTGTTCAGCAGCAGCCCACAGGCCCACAATAGCCCCTTTGACTGGGCTGCCGAGGTGGGGAGCTAGGCCTCAGCGTAGCCATTCCAGTAATGAGACCCAGGCCCACAGGAAATCCACCTGGGCTGCCGCCGCTGGCTCAGAAAGATGGGGCCCCACCCAGGCCTGCCGCCACCATCCCCTGCCCCCGCGACCCATCGCTCACCTCCTTCCTTCTCGTGCCAGAGCCCTCCGCAGCCGCTAATTGAATCCAGAGCCTCGCGTGGCCAGGCCTAACGCAGCGCTGACATCAACGCCCCAAGCCGCAGGCCTGTTCCCCGGGCTTCACTGAAGCCACCTCCTTTTTGCCAGGGTGAGGCTAGGAGCCAGGGGCTGCGGCCCACAGAGGGGCACAGGCATGGGGCTTTGGGGAGCCTTGCTGCAGCATCTGCAGGGCCTCTCTGTGGCCCCAGGGCCCACCATCTGAAGTACTAGGAAAAGGTGCTCTGCATCCATCACTGTCCCCAAGCTCCCAGCATCATCCCTGGTCCTGCCCCTGCCTGTGGTCTTCCTGGAAAACACTCCCACTTCCGGGGCTTTGGAAAGTCAGGCACATTCCAACTGCAGAGAGTAAAGGGACATTGAAGAGCCACCAGTTCTCTACAGGTCAGACTCAGATCTCTGATCCTGATCCTTGGCCACCAGCTCCTAACAGTCTCTTGTAGCCTCCTCACCCACCAGAGGGCTCCTGCACTTCAGGCTCCTTCCTGCAGCTGGAGCAAGAGCCCATACAGAGGGGCAACAGGACTGTAGGGAGGGTGAGCTGTGTGTGCCATCTGCACCATCATGAGGGCTTGGCAGGACATAGTTCAAGTCACCCCCTCCACAGAGGAAGGCAGGCATGGACTATCTGTCCAATCCTTCCCTGAGAAAGGGCCCTTGGAGATCCTCTTGGCATGTATCTGCCATGAGCCTCTTTCAGGAGCACTGCAGCTGGGTAGGTGAAGGCTGCCCTGTTATTCTTCACTGAGGTTGGAAGCTGCCCCACTGGGAGGGTGGACTGGGTACCTCAGTGGAAGCTGGGTGGACACAGCCCAGGATAGAACTTGTGGAATGCCACCCTACCCACCATGGCCTTCCCAAGCCCAAGGAATGCTGGCCAGGGCCTGGTGTCCACTGGGAAGAGGGGTCCTGGCCCCACTTCCCCAGAGGGCTGTCCCTTTTACACCTACCCTTACCCTCCCTCTATGCAGTCCAGGAGCCCTGGGGTCATGCCAAAGATACACTCATTTTATTTTATTTTTTTATTTTTATTATAAAAAGCCTTCATATCATCGTTTGTCTTACAAAAACCAAAGTCCTTGTCTCTGTGTTTGAAAACTATTTTCCCAGAATAAATGGGAAAGGATCTCTTATAAATATATTTTAAAAAAACCAAAAGCAAAACTTGTTCCTAAAGCGTCTTTCTTTCCAGTTTCATTTGTTACTTCACTCCCTGGGGCCAAGGCTGGGCTGCATACCCATCCTTACCCCCACTCTCCCTCTTCTCTCTTTCTGGGGGCTTCCTTCACTGACCCCCCGATTCTCCTTGGGTTGAGAGCCTGGCAGCCCTATGCCTGTTACCAGCACACGGCAGAACCTGCCGCCCTGCTCCACCCAAGGCTGCACATGGCAGAGGACAGGGCCAGCGCCATCCTCAGAGGCACTTGGGCTCTGGGGGTCCTTAGAGGTCTAAACCTGGGTCCTAGCATCTTAGATGAGGAGACCAAGGTCCAGAGAAGGGCAGGGACTTGGTGTAATCACACAGCCCCTGCCCTGATGTGTCCTCATCTTATGGATCTGAGATCTTCTTGATCTTATAGCAGGAGGGCGCTGTTCAGTCCCAGCAGAGCTGAGAGCCCAGCCCAATAGTCCATCACTCCCAGCTTAGATGTAGGGCTTAGTGGGAAGGGGCCCTTTGAGCCCAGGCCCTGGGTAGCCCATGAGTGGCACCTCACACTCAGGCCCACCAGGTGGGGCCTCCCCACCACCCTCACTTGCCATGGGGCCTGGTTCTAAGGGGGCCTTCACCCCCTCCAGCTCTAGGGGCCCAGGCCCCACCTGCCCTTTGCCCTGAGCTGCGGCTGCCGCGGCCCGCCCCCGCCGCACGAAGTAGGCTGCCCCTACAGCAGCCAGGGCAGCCAGGAGTATGGCAGCCAGGGCCGGCGCAATAAGGAGCGGCAGGTTGCCCTCTCGGGCCTGTGTGACCGGAGCATGGTTAGACCGGACAGCCGGGGGGGTGCGGGCCTCTCCACAGGCCTCCTCACCCTCAGGCATCCGCCCAGCCCCCAGGGGCCTGACACAGATGGAGTAGGTGGCATTGGGCCGAAGCTGTGTGACCGTGTACTCGGCAAGTGAGGCGGGCAGCCGCAGTGTCACCGGCCGCTTGTCAGGGCCTGACAGGTTTCGGTAGGTGAGGCGGAGGCCCCTGAGCTGCACAGTACTGCCCTGCAGGTAGCGCTGCAGCCCTACCCTCAGGGAGGTGGGGCTTATTGGCTCGATCCCGAGGGGCAGGGGCCCTGGGGGCCTCAGTGTGGCTGGGGTAGGGGAGGGCCATAGCCCCTGCTTCATCAGGCTCTCACAGTACAGGCCAGTGAAGCCATCGGGGCACTGGCAGGCTAGGTGGCCCTTAGCCCCCCGGTGGCAAGTACCCCCATTGAGGCAGATGGATGCTGGGCAGTCCTGGGGCTGAGGGTCAGCTCCCACAGTGGGTGGGGTGGCAGGTGGCAGGCTCGGGGCTTTGGCAGCAGGCTCCGTGGGGTTTTGCCAGGTGGGGGCTGGGCTGGAAGACAAGGGTGTGGGTTCCCATGCCAAGGACCTCGTGGTGGGCACTGTAGCCGTGGTGGTGGTGGCTGGGCAACCAAAGTCGGCATAGTCGAGGTCCAGGAGCATCTTGCCAGCATTCTTGGGCGGGAAGTGGCAGCGCGTCTCCTCCGGGCTGGCCAGTGCCACTCGGTTCTCCCGTACCCAAGGGCTGAACCAGCTCAGGGGGCACACACAGTTGAAAGGGTTTCGGGCAGCTGCCAGGAGCCGCAGGCGCGGGAAGAGGCCCGAAAGCTCATGTGGTAAGGCCTGCAGGCTCAAGTTGCTCAGGTCCAGCTCCTGCAGGGCTGCCAGGCCAGCCAGGTCCTCGGGCCGCAGCTGGGCAATGCGGGTGTTGCCAGCCAACCGCAGGCGTGTCAGTCCCTGTAGACCCCGGATGGCAGGTGGCACGAACTCCAGCTGGTTGTCTGACACATCCAGGTCGTGTAGATTGCGCAGGCGGCCAAGGAGCCCCTCGTCCAGTTGCCGTAGCCCCAGGCCGGCCAGCCGCAGAGCCTCTACATTGGCGGTGTCCAGGGCACCCGGCTCCAGGGCCAGGAGGCTGTTGTGACTGAGGTCCAGCAGCAACAGGCTCGGCAGGCGCAGCGGGGGCAGCGCCCGAAGCTCGTTGTCTTGCAGCTTGAGTTCCAGGAGGCGGTCAAGTGCATCAAAGGCACCAGGCTGGATGTGGTGGATTCGGTTCTTGCCCAGGTAGAGGCGCTCCAGGCACCGCAGGCCGCGGAAGGTCTCGTTGGTGATCTCACGCAGCCTGTTGGCAGTGAGGTCCAGGTTGCTAAGGTTGGAGAGTGGCCGGAAGACCCCACTGGGCAGGCTGGTGATCTGATTCTGTGATAGGTCCAGGAGCTGCAAGCCTGGCAGGCTGGCAAAAGTACCTGGTTCGAGTGTAGTAATGCCGTTGGCAAAGACGTACAGGCCTGCTGTGTTGGAGGGCACATCACGGGGCACCGTGGTCCCCTGGCGGGCAGTGCAGAATACTGTCTGTGGCTGGTTGCACTGGCAGCCAGAGGGGCAGCCATGCACCCCAAGCCCTGGGGCTAGCAGCAGCAGCAGCAGCAGCGGCAGGGGCAGGGGCAGGGGCACACTGGAGCGCATCTTTTGGTCCCTGGGAGCAGAGAGGAAAGACAGGAGACCATGAGTCAGGGGCCCAGGAGACAGCCATGCCAGGAAAGATTGAGAAGGGAATTCCAAGCCCCCTTCACCACTCCTTGCCCCCAAATCCTACAGCACACTGTAGTTATGAGTCAGGTCTCCAGTGCCTGGGCCCAGTTCCTGCATCACTCTCTTGCTATGTGATTTTGAACAGTCACATGACCTCATTATGCTATCAGTTGCTACTTCCTGCACTGGTCACCATGGTTCAGTGGGTTGATGCATGCAGAATAGGGCCCAGCCCCCAAACACTCCATGACCACAAAGGACATCTATACCTTCACCCAGTTCTCCCACCTCTGTGGCTTAGAGAGAACATGATCAAAAAGCATTAGGCTGTGGCCCTTTCTCCAGCCCCCCCCCCCCCACACACACACACACACCCCAAAATCTCTGCTGAGGTGGACAGGGAAGCAGGCGGAATGGCGGCTTTAAGACTGGTGGGCAGTCAGCCCAGTGCGTAAGTAGAGAAGCTGGCTGCCCCAGGCCACCGGCCCCTGCCGCCACGCTCTACATCCTCCAAGTGAGGAGAGACCGCAGTGGGAAGACTTCACATGGAAACTATGGGATTGGTGTTTTTCCACTTGTGAAGTCAGACCTGCCCGGGACGGGAGCTGTGGGATGGCCAGGATGTGGCCAGTAGGAAAGTTCCTAGGGAAGGGAGCAGAGGTGCTGGAGCAATTAGCAGGGGGAGGAGTGAAGAGAGGGAAGCCTGGTGTTCACATCCCCTTCTGGGCACAATGATAGAACTAAAGGTGAGGGGATCCAAGCCTCCCTGGGCTGACCCAGGGCTCAAGTTGGGGGACATTAATTGCATGGTGGCCCCAGAGGCAGTGCCAGACCTGGAAATACTACCCAGATTCCTTCATCTATCATTTCTTGGGTTCCACTGTGGGCTGGGCACTGAAGCAGAGCTGCAGCCCTTCCCATGTGCCAGTGTCACTGAACATTTAGCCACCTCTTGTTTCCCCAGCAGCCATTCCAGGTGGAAACTATTTTCATCACTCCCAGATGACGGAAAAAGGGGGCTCCTAGAAATGCAGCGACTTGCTGCCGTTGCACTACTGAGAAATCTGAGCCAGAGCCCTGGTCCTTAAGCAGGTCCAGGTGTGGTTGTGCCTGCTGCCTGATGAGGGGCCCAGTCCTGCCGGGGTAAGTGGGGGTGGATCCCCCCCAGTCATTCCAGGCTCTGGCTTGTAGCTTGACCTGCCCAAGGATGAGGCCACAGCTGAGGCCCACCTTCATTCAGGATCCTGAGGAAAATCTCGGTGCCACCCCCAGCAGCAGTCCCCATGATCTGAGCCTGTATAGCCCCAGAGAGGCCAGCATCCCTCCCTCCCAGGCACCTCTGCTTACACAGGGCCTTTTGTGCTGTGGCTCAGCCTCCCCTTCCCCCATACTGGCCAGCTGTCAGGCAGACGCAGGTAACATGCCGCCCCCCCCCCCAACCAGGGTGCCTTCTGCCCCACTGCCATCTACTTGGATTACCCTCCCCCAAATAGGGAAGTGGGCTGGATAATGAGGTGGTCCCAAGATGGATTTGACAAGTCACTGGGGGAGGCCACTGTGGTCTAAGGCCAGTTCTAGGTAAAGGCCTGCCACCCAGTTTGGGTACCCTGCCCATCTGCAGGGCCATTCTTGCCTGGGAAGTGAGGCCATCAGCCTTGCCTTTCACTAGTTAACACTGATGACTGCCCTTCAGAAGCTAGCCAGGGAGGCCTTACCTGACCCCTAGCCAGTGCCCTCTCCCCTGCTCTCTAGACTCCTGTCACATGCAGCCCTGGCCCTGCCAGTGCCATCTCAAGGGGGCTCTGTGCACCCCACCCAGCCTACTCCCCTGTGAGGACCTGCTCCACCCTCTCTGACTCAGAGTTTAGCCTGGCCTCCAGATGTGGGCTATGAGCATCCCCCACCCCCACATGGACGTGGGGGGTGAGCCACCTCCCCCTGAATCAGCTCTCCTGGAGGAACAGGCCAGGGTCAGGAAGGGAGCAGCCAGACTCAGGGTGGGAGGGGACCCCTACATGTGACCAGCTTGGTCACCCGTGACTTTGGCTTCCCATAAGACTTGCATAAGCTCATGGTTAAAAACTCATGCTCCAGTCAGGCAACCCTGGGCCATGGGTGTCAGAGCTGTAAGGTGTAGACAGTGTTTCTCTCAGTGCCTAGGCTTCTTCATCTGTCTCCCAGACGTTTTAGAACAGACACCTCCCAAAACAGGCACTGCTGGGGGCACTCTCCACTCAGCATTAAGGAGGGGCTAGCATGGGCTCTAGGCTTTGCTCCCTTTAATCAGCAAAGTCCTCATGGGGGAGGGAGGCAGTGGCTGCTATGGCTCCGTCTGGACCTGAGTGGCAATCTGGCTGAGTAGCTGGGAGCAGAGGCTGCATGAGGAAGAGTGACTGGCATCCTGGGCTGGGGAGACTGCAACAGGCAGGAGCTAACCTGCTTCCCACTCCCTGGGAAGCAGGAGTGAGCGCCTTGGCCTGCGCCCCCGTCCATCACTCAGCAAGGACTGGCACAGGGGCTTTGGAAAACAGCAAATGAGGGCTGGTGGCTCCAGGGGCTCTGCCACGAGGGCCTGGCACCAAGAGCAAAGCAGACATCAGACAACCCCCACCCCCGCCGCCCCCAAAAGAAGGGGTACAGAGGGCCAAGACTGACCGTGGAGGAGCAGGCATCAGGTAGTAGGACAGTGGGAGACAGAGGCTTGAATTTGGGCCCAAGTTCTGCCCCTAAATTGTTTCCCAAGCCCCTTCCCACCTGTGGGCCTGGGTTTCTCAGCCGCCTTGCTTCACCCTCCAGAGTTGTTCGGAGCACCCAGTATTCTGTTTATTCTCAAATGGACAAGTTCTGGAAGCAATTCCGCTTGTCTGGGCCCATGCTGTTGTGTGAGTGCATTGGGGGTGGGGGTGCCTCCTGAAGGGGGTTGGGTCATGGCTGCCCTTGTCCAGCCAGTTACAATTTCAGCAGCTCTGAAGGATCAGGGGCCTGGGCTTTGATATCTGATCCGCTGACCTGAGGCAGGGAGGTGGGACCTTTCTCTCTGAAAAGGGTGTGGGGAGAGTTCTGAAGGCAATCCTGGCATTTGGGGGGGGGGGGGGGCCTAGGAGGGCTGGGGGGGAGAGACTAGAGGGAGAGGGCAACAGGGTCCAGGGCTTCTGTCCTCTATCTAGATTCAACATAGCCTCGTCTGGGCCTGGCCCTGCCATGGTTTGCCACTCTCACAGCAGGCAGAGGCCGGGGCTCTGTTGCTCCTAGCCTTGCCAAACCCCAGGAACAGTTTTTGGGATGGTACTTTAGGGTCCGATTACCTGTGTTTGCAACCTGGCCATGGGCCTTCACCTCAGTTCTCATCTGTTGAGTTGGGGGGCTGGTAATAGCACCTGGTTTTCAGGATTGTTTAGTTTGTACTTGGAGCACATTCTGAGTGGTCAGTCAACATTCGCTACCGAGGGTGCTACCCATAACACCTGAGTCCTCTCTGGGACGGATGCCACAGTGTGAGAGGCTTCATGCTCCTTTCAGCACAGATCGGAAGCCTCCCTGGGCTGAGGGTAAAGCCTCCATATAGAGGCTGCCCCCCCCCCAAATTCCCCCCTTGGGTATGGGCGTAGGAGAGCAATCTTATGGAGAGGTACCTTTAATTTTGGAGGAGGTAAAGGGTGAGCTGTCTTCTGGCCAGTCCCCTTCAGCATATGACTTCAGGGTGAGGGGAGAGCAGAGTGAGGGCTCTGTGAGTAAGGACATCCATCATCGCAGCTCTCAGGGGGACCCAGAGTGCCCCCACCCACTCCCAAGTTTGGGACACACAGAGGCCATCTGCCCTGGGTCAGGCAGGGACCGGAAAATGGGTGGAACATGGGCATTTCAGTGACTGCATCAGATTTAAGGCAGAAGCATCTCACTGCTCCTGGGGAAGGACAGGCCAGCATACCCCCCTCCTGTGCCCTACGCTACAGAGTAAGTGCAGGGTCAGGTACTATAGGCCCCACCCTGGGCCCTGGGCCTCTGGCTCCCAGTGTTGGCCCGCCCGGGCTAAGCACTGCCGGCCAGGCCTGGCAGCAGCCCAGCCCAGGAGTCTGCCAACCCTCCAGGCAGGCGGGACTGTGCCGGCGGCCAGGACAGCTGGCTCCAGTTTCGCTGACGTGTCTGAGGAGGTTCAGGGCCCAGGTCTGGCCCACCCGTCTCCCCATCCCCGGGACAAAGCAGCCCCTGGCCCAGCAGGACTGAGGCTGGAGTTTCCCTCCTGGGTCCTCAGAGAAGGGGCCAAGAGGGCAGAGCCTCGGGTTCCTCAGAGATGGCCCTCTCTCCAGGTGGAGGCAGAACCCTGCCCTGTGATTAAGCTGGAGGTCCCCACCAGTCTCGGCGTCTCTGCCTTACCCCATACACCACTCCAACGGGCTCTGCTCATTCTACAGAGAAGACCCTGACACCCAGTTCCCTTCCCTTTCTGGGTTTCCATCTCCCACCTGGAACCCCAAGGGCTTCTCAACCCCAGCTGCACATCAGAATCACCCTGACAGCTTTGGAAAGTTCCTGATGCCTGGGCTCCACCGCCAGGCTCACTAAATAAGACTGAGGTCTGGCAGAGCTGTGTTTTGGAAAAGCTCCTTGGGTGAGTCTCCCCTCCAGCCGGGGCTCAGACCCTGGGACAGGAGGCTGCAAAGGGGACAATCTGGGCATCAGCCTTCCTCTCGGTCAGGGCAAGATCCCTGAGCAGGTGTGGGGGAAGAGCAGCAGCATGCCAGGCCTCGGGTGGGACCTTCTGTGGCACTGTGGGTGACTTGGTAGCTACCAGACCTGTCAGCCCAGGGCAGGAAGATCAGTGACTAAGGCCAATCCACACTAAAGTGAGCCCTCAGGGCAGCGGGACGTGCCATCTCAGTCAGGAGAGGTGCCACCCTGTTGGGGGAGGACACCTGCTGTCCTGGGAGCTGTGTGTTGGCTGGGGCCCAGCTAGAAATGGGCCAGTCCAGATGCCTCCGCTGGCACGCGCAGGTGTGATGCCACCAGGGCTGGGTTCAGACACTGGGCCCCTCACTGCCCTGTCCCCACCCAGGGCCAAGCACTCATCAAGGAAGGTCCTAACCCTGCAATTAACCCTGACTTTGCCAGAGGAAGTCCTTAGTCACCAAGGGAGGCCACCAGCCCCACGCCAGCTGGGCCCAGGCTGTCTGGGGCCTGGACCGGGTCTGAGAAGGAAGTGACCCCGGAGGAGGTCTTGCCCTTCTCATGCTCACCATGCCTAGAGATCTAAGTCACCCTGTGGCAGAAGTGGCCGGCCCTTCCTGGGATCTGTGAGCTGGTCAGTGGGCAGGTGGGATTGATATGGGGAGCTACCCCCTGCCCCCACCTCTCCTCACTTCTCACCGCTGTCTGTCCAGTGACTGCCCAAGCCCCAGCCCCAAGCCCTTCTCAAGGCAAGCCAGCTCTCCTCTCCTCCCTCCTTAATTAAATCTCTCAGGCAGCCTCAGAGGAATGTCAGAGCCTTATTGCATTTCTCTGGAGGAGACTGGTAGGGGGGGGCCTTCCCCAACCTTGGAGAAGAACTGGCTCCTCGCCTGCCCACTCCCCCTAAAACCGAGGTGGTCTAAGGGAGCCTGCCCCAGCCTCCTCATACCCAGGGAAACTGGAATGAGGAAAAGCGGGGGAGGCCTGCAGGCCTGGCCGGCCAGGCGGCCCAGCCAGCTAAGGGAAAGCAATCCGGCTGACTCTGGAATGTGGAAACCGATAAAAGGAAGAAGGCTGAGCCTGCGCCCGCCCGCCGTGGTGCATGCAGACTCCCGCAGCACCCCTGCCCGCCCCCAAACATAGCCCTGCTCCAGTCACGCGCACACATACACCCACGCCCAAAATACGCCAAGTGGGCTGTGTTCTTACACACACACACACACACACACACACACACACCCTCCCTCCCCTTTCTCCAAGAACTCTCACAAATTCCACAGCAGTGAGGGGAGCTGGTTTTCTTGGCAGTGCAGACAGAGCGCTGGGCTCTCCAACCCAGGGAGGAGACTAAGGAGAGCTGAGGGGGGCTCCGGAAAGGGTCACTAACCCTTTTAGGTGGCATTGTTGCCCTCGCCATGAATTGAGGGCTTGCCAATGGTCAGGGATGCTTCTCTCTGGTCACCAGGGGGTACTGGCTGGCTGGCCTGCGGAGGTGGAAGCTGCCTCCTGGGCCTAGCTGGGACCCCACTTTCCTGTTTCCATGAGCTGCCTAGCCCGGGGATGGGGTCCACTTACAAGCCCCCATGAGGACTCAACTCTCTTTACCTAGGACTTGTCCCAACTCCCTCAGGGCTGTAGTGGGGGGTGTCAGGAATGGGAGCCAAAAACTGTGGACTCATCTTCTGCCCAGGGCACTTCCCTGGCCCTGGGGCTGCGTGCCAGGAGGGCCTTTTTGGGGGAAGCAGAGCTTATCTAAGTGTCTTCTCGTGCTGAACTCCCTTTCCCATTTCCAGTCTAGAGAGTGGTGCCATCCCAGCAAATGCCCTGGAACACTGGCCCCCAGTGGTCCCATTTGCCTCTCTGGACCCACAGGTCCCAGGGTGCTGTGTCAGTTTACAGCAGCACAAAGCTAGGGAGATGGGGTCAGGCCATGCCCAGGCCCCCAGCCTGGCACGAGTATGCTGATTGTCCCTCCCTGGGCCCAGGAGAGACCAAATAATGGTCTGGAGGGAATCCAGCTGGGCTGCTCATTACCAGAGCCCTCTTCCTGCCTCTGACACTCTGTTTACAGAAGCTCTGGGGCCTGATTCCCCTGGGAGAAGACAGCAAACTCAGGGGACTGCTCTCCCATCCCCCTACCCGTTTGCCTTGCCAACAGCTGGGCCCTAACTGGATTCACTGTCTGCTGGACCAGCTTGAATGGACCCTACTTGGAGGGTACCAGCCCAGCCACCCCTTTATACCGTCAACATCCAAAAGTGAGAAGGGTCCTTGGATATCCAGTCCCGTTCCTCTAGCCCCCAGAAGGTCTTGGCCTGGGGAGGGGGACACTGGGACCTGGTGCCTCTCTCCAGAGCCTCACCTACCCTTGGTGCAGAAGGCAAGCAGGGGACACCTGGACCATCAGGGTCTCTTCCTCTCCCCTTGCAGATTCCATCCCTACCCACCCTGGTGTGGTAATGGTTAAGGAATGGTTGGCACCAATCAGCTGATCTGCCAAGTGACCACAGGGGGACCTTGGCAGCCCTCAGGCCCCAGTGCTGCCAGCCCTGAGACACAAAGAACTAGGCTGGCTCCAGGCCATTGGGTTCAAAGCCCAAGCAAAGCCCCTTCTCTGAAAGAGGCAGAGATGCTAGTACCTGGGGCCCAGGCACTCAGGGTTTGCAGTGTCTTGGAGTGGAGGGGGCGGGAGGGGTGGAGGTGGCAGTGTGGAATGGTGCACTAGTACCTGCCAGCCACCCGCTTACACCTCCCCTGGGCTGCATACTTGTGCCCCCTCACTTCAGCTCTGTCGTGAGTGACAAGGGCCCTCAGGACCCTAGAGGGCCAATCTGCACAGGGGCACCAGGGGCTCCAGGTACAGAACTAGACCGTTCCACTTTGGAAGGTAAAAGTAACCTAAGACCATGGCGTGGCCATCCCCTCAAAGGGATTTGATTCATAAAACTGGTCATGCCGGAGGGCCCAGCCGTGGGAGGAGGAAGCGAGGGAGGGGGTGTTTATTTTGTCTACTCGCAGCCCTGCCGGGTCGGCGAGCCCTTGTACACACACATCCGCGCGCGCACCCGGCCGTGAGACTGTCCGTGGTCGGTCGGCCCAGGTGAGGGTGCGGGCTGAGGGCGCCCGCCCGCCCGCCCTGAGTGCGTGTGCGTGCGGAGGGGGACCTGCGGGGGATCTGCGCGTGTGGTCGGCGCATGTGCATAACCCGCCTCCGTGGCGCCCCCCATTCCCGTCCTCAGCCCCCCAGCCCAGCAGACACTCACCGGACAGCAGAGGCGGGAGCCGGGCGGGGTGGGCCACGGCCTCAGTCCTTCCCCGCCGGCCAGACCGGAGGGCTCCTGGGTCCCGAGGCAACCGCGTCCACGTACCCCCGCCGCGGGCTCAGGCTGCGAAGTCAGCTCGCGGGAGGCGGGTCGCGCCTTTAAGGCGGGGGGGCGGGGCTGCCGCTTGTGGGGGGCGGGGCTGCTGCCCATTGGCCAGGGAGGAAAGGGGCCAAGGGAGACCCGCCTCCCCTAGCCACTGAACCGGTCATTTGGCTGGGCGTCCCGGTCCTCACCCCGCAACTCCCTAACTCGGGGGCGGGCGGGAGAGATCGTGTCTTTCCCGGTGTGGAGTCAGGAGTTCAAAGCTCCAGGCCGGCGAGCCGTGTTTGCCTCATGACCCTGGACAGGTCCCTGTTTTTCCGTGTAGAAAGCAAGCGAATTTCAGTGAGACAAAGTCCCAAACTTGGGTGCTTGTAACACATCAGACAGGTGATATAAATTCAAGGAGCAGACCCCAGAGCCTGTGCAGACCTGGAAAGGCAGGGGAGGAGGGGAGTGGGGGCAGTGTAAGGACTCAGCCCCCACGACCTGCTTCAGCCTGCCAGAACTTTGGGTTTTGCAAGAGAAACTGGAAATCTGGATTTTATTATATTTTTTTAGGTGAAATCTCTGAATGTACTATTGTTGGTAGTTAATCCCAATTTCAACAACTCCTGGGCAGGGTCTTCTGAGAGCCTCCTAGATAACAAACTCAACACCAAATCTGAGTTCTGGGGTCCTTTTAGACGTGACAACTTTCAGGCTGGGACCATCCCTGGGATCACCTTTCCCATGTTTTAGATGAAGGGACTGAGACACAGAAGGGGAACCCCAGTTACAGGCAGCTCCAAAGCCAGAATGTGTTTGTGGAGGAGGGGGGACTGGGATGGAGAGGGAGGTTGGGCCTCATTGTCAGTGGGTGGAGCCTGAGTGCAGCTGACAGTGGCCCTTGATGGGGCAAGAGGGACGTGTGCCAGGGGCTGGAGTAGTCCAGAAAAATCCCCTGCCTTGGAGGATTCCAGGAAAAGGCTCTGCCCTCCGCCCCATACATGTTTGTGGTCAGAGACTTGCCTTAGCTTTGGGACCCAGCTCAGCTTCTGGACGCCCGCCTCTTCTAGCCTGGCCTGCGGCTGGGCCTTTGCCTGGGGCAACGTGAAGTCTCAGGCCCAAGGGCTTGTCTGTGAGACTGGACCACCCCATGGGGGGGGGGGCATAGGTGGTCTTTGTAGGACTTGATCACCTTCCGAAGGCGGGACAGCCTCCATGTCCAGTTGCTAATTAGCTAAATAGGGTCCAGCTACAATACTTACCTCCCAGACTTCCCCTCTCCGCTCGTAGCTTCCTCAGGGCTTCTCCTCGACAGGGCCCCTTTCCAGGATAGGCAGGGGTCTGGACCCCACACCTGCACCCCTTGATTATTTGGTAATTTGTGTATGGGTAGCATAACTTTTTTTTAAATATATTTTTATTGATTTTTCACAGAGAGGAAGAGAGGGATAGGGAGTTAGAAACATTAATGAGAGAGAATCATCCATCAGCTGCCTCTTGCACACCCCCTACTGGGGATGTGCCCGCAACCAAGGTACACCAAGGTACAACAACCAAGGCCCTTGCCTGGAATCGAACCCGGGACCTTTCAGTCCGCAGGCCGACGCTCTATCCACTGAGCCAAACCGGTCCCGGCTGGGTAGCATAACTTTTGAACCACTGTTCCTGCACCAGAGTTGGCCCTTGGGTGTGTTTCATTTGACCTGGATAGAACTTTTTAAAACGTTGATGCCATTGCAAACATTAAAAATCCGGTGGTTTCAATTTAAAGTGGGACTTCCCAGCCTGCCTGAACAGGAACTCTCAGCTGGAGCCAAGTGACAGCTACCCCCTCTGACCTCTGTCCCCACCACTCCCAGGTGTCTCACATGAGGCTGCGGTGTGGCTCTGGTCAGACTGTCTTTATGCCTCTGCCTTTGTGTCCTGGGGCCCCTTCGCACCCTCAGGAGTGTCCACAGATACTGTAGGAGGGAGTGGGGTGCTCGGAGGACCTCCAGCTTGACTTTTCCCAAAGAGGCCCGGAAGCCTCTTACCTCTGCAGCCAGTTCTCCATGATGGAGAGACCCTATTTGCCTAAATGGTCCATCTTCTGCCGTGATCTTGCACCTGGACTCAGATAGGCCATGGCTCTTATCCACCTAGAGGTTCAAGGGCAGCTTCCAGGAGACCACTCCCAAGTTTGTCCATCCTTTCCTCATATGCCTTCCAGATACCACCTCCCTTTAGAACCCGGTTACCTGGACTGTCTTTGAGGGAGGGCTCTAAGGAGTGAGGCTGAGCTTAGTCCAAGGGTCCCTATAGCCCAGCTTGGGTGACAGAGACAGATCCAAGGGACCGGGACTGCTTTGGACCAGTGGCATTGCTAAGATGTGGACTGGGCCGAAACTGGTTTGGCGCAGTGGATAGAGCAGTGTTTTTCAACCTTTTTGGGCAAAGGCACACTTGTTTCATGAAAAAAATCACGAGGCACACCACCATTAGAAAATGTTAAAAAATTTAACTCTGTGCCTATATTGACTATATATAAAGTAATTCTCTTGAATAGGTATCAAATAAACACAAAGAAAGTATTTTATAATTACTTTATTATGAAATATTAAGTAAACAAAATAGTGAAAAATTATAAAATTCTTGTCTTGTCTGCACCTACGGCACACCAGGCAACATCTAGTGTGCCGCGGAACAGCGGTTGAAAAACGCTGGGATAGAGCATCAGCCTGCTGACCGAAGGGTCCCAGGTTCGATTCCAGTCAAGGGCATGTACCTTGGTTGTGGGCACATCCAAGAGGCAGCTGATTGATGATTCTCTCTCATCGATGTTTCTGACTATCCCTCTCTCTACCTCTGTAAAAAATCAATAAAATATATATTTAAAAAAATATATATGTGGACTGGTAGGGAGAACCAGAGGGGGCCAAATGAAGCAGGCACACTCCCGTACTTCCTGTGTTAATTGCCGGGATATTGGGAGAGTTGGTAGAATTTCCAGAGATTGATCCTTCCCCCGTGTGACCCACTCTGTACCACCATCATCCTGCATCTTCTGGGAACTAGGCTCAGAGTTAGGAGGCAGATCTGAGCTCTAGACAGGATCCTGTGGCAGGCCCAGATGTTAGTCCTCCCCCTGTGCCACGGCAGCAGGAGAGGTGACTATGCCAGCTCTCACCACCTCTGGCCCTCTGCCAGGCGGGGCTCCATTCTGCATTCAAGACCTAGACCCAGCATGGCTCTCTAGGTAAGGCCTGGGGTCAGGCCCATGCTAGCTGTTGGCCAACCCTTGAGGCTGGTGCCATGACCCTGTTTCCTGGCCAGTGTCTTGGCAGGCAGGTGCTCCCGCCGTACCGAGCTGCTCAGAGAGCTCTGCCTGAGGTGAGGAAGACTGGCTTGACCTGTTGGAGGAGCCAGCCCTGCCCTCTATGACTTCCTGCCCCCGCACCCTGAGCTCCTGAGTCAGTGAGCTGGCCAGCTGGGACTGATGGGGGTGTGTGTGCAGGGAGGCCAGGTCAGACCTCTTAAGGAAGTTGGCTTAGAGCACAGGTGAGCCTTCAGTGCTGTGGTAGAAACTACAGTCCCTCCAGTTCTCACCAAGGCAGCAGGAGTGCCCAGCCCAATTGTCCTCAGACGCTGCCCTGAATTCATCACCCCTTGTTTCCACTCCTCCTACCTGACCTCTGCACATCGGCTCCTATCCTGTTTACTTAAGATGTTCCATCAGCGTTTCGTTGCTTGTCCGATGGAGGCAGAACACTCCTTCTGATGTACTAGATCCCCTCTTGTCTTGCATCTATCCTCCCCAAGCCTCAGCCCTTCGCCGTAATTGCCCAGGCCACCAGCTACGTTGTCCTCATTCTTCAAACAGGCCATGCACCTACCTGCCACAGGCCCTTTGCTCATGCTGCTCTTTCTGCCTGGAACTCTCTCCCCTGAACAGCTCCTTTGCTCTCTGCTATATGTGCTCAGAGAACTTTCCCTTCATATTTATCTGTGGACTGTGTCTGCCTCTCCAGGTTGGGAGCTTCTGGAGGTCAGAGGTGGGGTCTTTTGTCATACCTCTAGTCATACCTGTAGGTGGAGTCAAGGGCTGGGCACAAACCAATTTGCCTGAGGAATGAGTGATTGAGAATGAGCTAAGTGAAAACCCTGTTTGAGCTTCTGTAGGGACCTGTGTCCAACCCCTCTGAAGCCGGCATCAGTGTAGGGGACATCCCCAGGCTCTCCTGCCTGCCCCTCCCTCAAGGCAGGCAGTGGTCAGACCAGGTCAAGAAGAGCAGTTCTGTGCCCTAACCGGTTTGGCTCAGTGGATAGAGTGTCAACCTGTGGACTCAAGGGTCCTAGGTTCGATTCCAGTCAAGGGCATGTACAATACATTGGTTGTGGCACATCCCCAGTAGGGCACGTGCAGGAGGCAGCTGATCCATGTAAAAAAAAAAAAAAAAAAAAAAAAATCAATAAAATGTATTTTTTTAAAAAAGAAAGAAAAGAAAGAAAGAAGGGTAGTTCTGGCCCTGGCTGGTTTGGCTCAGTGGATAGACTTTCAGTCTATGGACTGCCGGGGGTCCCGGGTTCGATTCCAGTCAGAGGTGCATGCCTGGGTTGCAGGCTTGATCCCCAGCAAGGCAGACAATCAATGATTCTCTCTGATCATTGATGTTTCTGTCTCTCTCTTCCTCTCCCTTCCTCTCTGAAATCAATTAAAAAAATATATTTTTTAAAAAGAAGAAGAAGGGCAGTTCTGAGCCAAACTCTCCCTGCTGGGCTTGAGGGTAATTAGAGGCTGTATTACTCACAGGTGACCAGCCCAGGGTCTTCCAGGAAGCTGTGGAGACACCCAGGGCCCCACCCAGCTGCTCAGCTCACTTTGTAGCTCCCGGCAGGGTATGTGTGTGGGGTGTGGGTGGGCAGCAGGCAAGCTTTGGGAAGCTGGCTGGGACGGGTAGACAGATAGGGGAAGAGAGGGCTGGGCCCTCTGTTGCTTGGGTGGGGATAGAAGCAGCCGTCACAGCTGGGTGACGGCTGACCGCTGGGACCACAGTGACGACAGGGTTCTGCCTGGAGACAAGTTCAA